TTTTTTATTTATTTTTTTGTTTTGTATTTTTTCAGGCTTTTTTATTTTGGTTTTCATTTAAAAAAAAAAATTCTGTCATGTAACAACATTTTCTTGTTTTGTTTATTTTTTGTTTTCTTTTAAATACTTTAACTTCATGGCTGTGTCTGCCTCCCCTCCTAACATTTTTTTTGTTATGTCTGCTTTAATTTTTTTCCCTTAATTTGTCAACGTTTTCTTGTTTTGTTTTTTTTGTTTTTATTTAAAAAATGTTTCCTTCATTTAATAACGTATTTTCTTTGTTTTTGTTTTCATTCAATGTTTTGTTTTGTATTTTTTCAGGGTTTTTTTATTTTGGTTTTCATTTTAAAAAAAAATTCTATGATGTAACAACATTTTCTTGTTTTTTTTTGTCTGTATGTTTTTTAATTTCATTTAACGTTTTGTTTAGGATTTTTTTGCATTTTCTATTTTTGTTTTTATTCAATAAATGTTTTCCCTTCAATTAACGTTTTCTTGTTTGTTTTTTCTTTGTTTTCGGTTTCAAATTAACTTTTTTTGGTATTTTTTCTGGGTTTTTTATTTTTGTTTTCATTAACAACATCTTTCATTCGACAGCTTTTTTCTCGTTTTGTGTGTTTTTGGTTTTCATTTTTTTTTTAAAGTTCATTTACCAACATTTCTTGTTTTCTTTTTTTTCTGTTGTCATTTTAATTTTTTGGTATTTTTTCTGGGGTTTTATTTTAGTTTTCATAAAAAAAAAAAAAAGTTGTTGTTTTGTTTTTTGTGTGTTTTCTGTTGTCCGTTTAAACTCTGTTAGCTTTAGCCCCACCGTCCCCGTCGATGTCCTGGTCGCAGGCGTCCCCCTGCCCGTTACTGTCCGTGTCCTTCTGCCCGCTGTTGGGGACGGTGGGGCAGTTATCGCAGGCGTCCCCGAACGAGTCGCTGTCCGAGTTCTGCTGGTCTCTGTTCGGCACCAGCCGGCAGTTGTCCTGCGGGAGGATGACAAACCTCAGACAAACGCCGCCAAAACGGCGTCCAAACGGCGCCAAAATGGTGTCCAAACGACGCCAAAATGGT